AATGTCAAAAAGTTGATTGATTTTCGGACGGCGTAGGTAGGTGGTTGGAACAGAAAGGAACAGCGATGCTATACGCAGGTGACACATGGAACTGAACTACCCACGCCGTCATATTAGTTAACTTTTCCATTAATTTTAACTGCGGCCCAAGGTTTTGGATCCTTTGCAGTAATTATGGTCACGGGGGAATCTGAAGATAGAGAGTGTCCCTAATGTCAAAGTCAATTTTGCTACGCTAGCGTTATCCGTTTTTATTTGGGGAAACTAACTGGATTCTTATAGAACTGACTCTCGATTCTCGGTATGTTATTTGGCTTTTTGTTTGGAGTCAGGTGTTATTCAGCATATCACTGTTTTTAGAGCTGTTCAGCCGTCGTGAGCGACAAACCGCCGGTATTTCAACCGACCGGGTTAAAATACATATAACCTAAGATCGCGGCGGGCCGGTGAGCCGTCTTTGAGTAATAGGTACACTACCCTCCGTGCTAGTCAGAGTGTATATAATTTGAAGGTATATAATCTACAAATATGTGTCGAACATTAAAAATAATAATTTGGCATCTACCAAATTCGTGGTCACAGTACAAAATGACGAAGAACGGATGTGGTATAACTGATGCCCTGTTTATTATAACAAGCGACGTTGCATACACTGGGGGAATCTAAGCGATTTGTAAAGTTGAGGTGCGGTGGGCACACCTTGCACTAATGCACTGAAATACAGTTTATTGCTGTGCGGTTTGATTGTGGGAATAATTTAATCCCACTATTAATGAGTACAATTCTAAGTATAAAGTATTTAGGTTTGGTTGGTTAACAGGATTAGAATAAGAAGACATTTATTATCTAAAGAAATATTATTATAAGCTCTATGAATTTTAAACATACATTTAGGTTAGATATTGTAGGAATATCAAAATTCCGTCCGGGTCACGAACCAACGTCCACCAATGAAAAATGCCGTGAAATTAAATCGCGGTCGATTTCAGTCTGTGGATTTACGAATATCCAAAACAATAATACACACCGAATCTTATTAAGATGTTATATGGCTGAGGTAGTCAGGCGAGAGGTGCCTTTCGTGATTTTTTTTCGTCTTCGTCTCTGCAAAATTTATTTTTAAAGGTTTTGACTTGTTATTTCAACACTGGAGGGTCTTATTTAGATTTCTGGGTAGATTTTAAGGTAGGACCAAACAAAAACAGTTTATGTTTAATGTAATCAAAAATATCTTTATGACTTATGGTATCAGCATGTTATTATCTATCCCAAAAATCATATGAATCCATAATGCAGTAGTAACACGTCTGTCTGTCACATTTAACAGCTATGTATATATGTAAGTGAAGCGTTGCAATCATGGATCGGAAGACGTTTATTGAAATCTCAGCTAGAAGCACTCACAGATCAATTTAATGCAGAGCTTCAACAAAATGATATATTATTATTAAACGGTTTCATTGTATTAACATTATACGAGATGGATCGAATTGTTAAATTGATTAACAACTTATGATGGAAAAGTAGATTATTTTCTTAAACATAAATAAAAGTAACTTGTGTGTAAATAGCTTATTAAACATTACTATATGAGTCATTTGTCAACTTAACTAAAAACGTTTTGTTATTACAATTATATTACATCTTGCATTAACTGTGTCTTATTTTAAAACCCTATTAAATATTTACTTAAAATGAATAGTATTATTTATATTATTTAAGAAATAATTTTGTAATTAAAAAGCTCTGTACACATATTGCTCTGTGCCTCAAGATGATTGTCACAGATAGGTTGAGAGGGCGAAAGTTCGTAAAGTTTTACGATCGGTATCCGATAGCACTCTGTAACATACCGTAATATCGGGGGACAGTAACACGCCTATACCACTATCCTCTTGATTGAATTATACAGATTGCTCAAAAGTATTCAGTTGCTTCAGGAACAAAGAGCTCCATCTTCTGTTGTAAAACTAAGATTATAATTTTCATATATGGCAGCATATTAGTCGCATTTAGTCTTCTAGATATAAATCTAGATATCTTTACTACTTGTACTAGCAATTTGTTAAAAAGAGCAAGAAAGTAAACAGAAACTTTTGTAAGCGTGATTCTTAAATTGTAAACATCTAGATTACAACTACGATACCGAATATTAACTCAATTTCTATTGAGGCGTTAAGAAATAATGAAGTTCTTCCAATATAAAATACTGCATATACGTTGTGGAGTGATAACTTAATTTTTAAAAAAATTGACATTAAACGTTTAAGAAAATTTGGTCACATTCGTTATATGCCATATAACGTTATAGAGGTTTAAAGATAAAGCTCGCGTAACAGGCTCGTAGGTCTTATACTATGTATGGCTTCTTCCGCGGTACGACCGTTCAGTGAAAAAGCCGGGGAGCTTAATCGCGTTTCGGTTTCAGTCTGTGGATTTCCGAATATCCAAAGTCAAAATAGGTCGACGGCACATCTTGTTTAGATGCTATAGGCTGGGGTATATCACCTACCATCAAGTGACTCCCATGCTTCTCTGTCCTCCTCTATCATAAAAAAAGGTCGCTAACGACAATAAAATAAGAGTTTCTCATAATTTATGGCCACTAATCGCCAAAAATAAAGGCAAAAAAGTGACATTTTCGAATAGCAAAGGGTTAAAACACAGCCCAGTTAATGAGGCCGAAAGTCGGGAACGAAGGATATTTAAAATAACGCTAACAACTCGTGAAAGGGTATGATTAATTACTCAGTTTTTAATCTATTTTGACGCTAAAATATTTAATTATTATTAGTAGTTGTATGTACAATATCATTTATCAATTGTATAGAATCAACATTTGCATTTGAAATAATCATAAGAAAATTACGTTGCGTTAAACGCAATGGGTTTTTGGATTCTTCGAATCACTGATATAAATTAGATCTACCCTGATGGACTCAAACATTTTACTAAAACAGACGCAAATATTTATTGTGCTATGGAACGGGTTATAAAATATTGGTCTTAACAATTAGGAACTTCAAGCTATCTTTACCTTGTAAACACGCTGCTAAAAGTTCAAATAAATTTCATTAAATGCGCCGATACCTCACCGAATTTCTGAAATAAAGAACTTACTTTTGAAATTTATTATAATTTCATTCAACGTTAATAAACTTACGATCCGGATTTCATATTAAAATTCAAAGGGAGATTTCTGAATGAAGATTTTCATAGGATACATTAAAATCTGTTTTCTACGGCTTCAGTTGGACACTACAAATCATAAGCTGTAGCGATAAATTTTATTATGAGAATATGATAACCTGTTCTGAACATAAAATGAAACAGTCGATAAAAAGAAATCGTAAATTCGGGCATGCGACATATCTAGGTGGTACTCAATCATTTGAGTGACTATCCTAAAAATTATATTTTGTCATTTTTTATATAGAATAGAAATAGTCATGGTAGGTAAAATAATAAAAGATAGTATCGACAATTATTTATATTCGAAATCCACAATTGAAACGAATCGAGCTTAAAATTTACCAATTCTTCACATTGTACGGTGGTTCGTGCCCAGAACGTAATTTCGATATTCCAGGTTTCCAGGCAAAATCCCTTATATCTAAGAAAAAATTTGCAAACACATGCTGTTGCAAAAACGAGGTTGTCTTTTTATTCAGTTGCCCCGGTACACCTTTATTTTATTTTAACATATACGTGTTAAGCAAACATATATGATATATAGCAGTTTCAAATACAAAGTAATGTATTTGAAACTGCTTAAAACCTATATTTTACTCAATTAATGACAATAATATATCTGTTTTCTTAAGATGTTATTACAGTATCATCTCTTTATTTTACTATATCTATTCGCTTATATCTTGGACTATACCACTTGTCCGCTGGGATGGCAATAACAAGTCCATAAACCGTTTTTACTGCCTTTGTTCAAGTAAATGTATGTTGGTTTCTTTTTAAACAATGCCCGTATTTTCAAGACGAATATAATTCAAGGCAGCCGAAGACGGATAATGGAAGATGTTTTTACAGTGACGTCTCGATGTCCCATGGGTTTGCTATAATGGACTTATTTTTCGAATTTAGAATTATCACTCCAAATAGGAGATATATAATTTAATTTCGCAAATTCTCAACGACAGTGCCATGCTAGTTTTGATCAAGATTCCTTGCATCAATTTCACTTAAAGGTAACGATGCCTTAAATCATTTTATATCGTAAAACATACTTTAAAAAGAGCTTTGGGTAAAATATTACCATTTTGCTATTTAAAGAATTATGACAAGAAGTTAAATTGGTCTTAACGAAGATCTTACGTGTTTCGTGAGTCAAACAATTGTCCAATTTATGAAATTATATCACACCTAATTCAATGATTCAGATAATGACATAGACTTATATACGCTTAGAATGATTCCATTACTTGTAATATAAATCATTGTATGTTGTTATAAAATCAGACAAAGCCCAACGTGTTTCAGCAATACATTATTATAAACATGTTGAACCGCATACGCATTATTAACTAAACAATTTTATAGGCGTGTCTTTCAAATAAAAGACTTTAACGGTTTAAAACGCGATATATTAGTTAAACTTATTTGAAAATGATTTTTAACTTCGGTCCAACGTTTCGTTTCGCGTTTTAAACCGTTAAAGTGTTTTATTTAAATGTGTTCTACTCGCGTAAACTATAAACAGGCGCGTCTTTGTTTTTAAGATGTTTTTGTGTTATTTAAAGTAATTGGACACATTTTATTAATTTAAGTAATTATAAATTATGAGAATTAAGTAAATTTTCATAAGTGGTAACAGTAAAAAAATATGTTTCTTAACAAACAGATACGGGATTAAAAATGTAAACTATTATAATAGTTTTTAATTTAATCTTTTTAAAATACAATCTTAGCTCTATGTAGAACTTACAGGGTAACTTTGTAAAAACAGGTCATTCGTTCTCAGAAGTTTTGACGGACTGCACTTAAAAATGTTTCGTTTATTTATATTCTCGTTTCTCTTCGTTACTTTTGTAACATCCGAACAAAGTGATAAATATTGTGATGGTGTGATATATTATTATGAAATTATTAATTTAATACTAGGCGTATAATAAAATCAATAAATCAAATGATAGTAAAACAGATTAAGATCACTTAGTTTGAGAGTAAATTATGTTGAGGTTATGTCATTGTGTCTTGAATGTTGAATAATCTATACTAATATTATAAATGAGAAAGTAATTCTGTCTGTCGTTCTGTCCCGCTTTCACTCCGAAACCACTGCCAAAAAGGGTCGATAGGGGTTGAAAAAGGGGATGAAAGTTTGTATGGAAATTCGTGGGTTTTGAAGCTAGAACAATGAAACTTTCTTCTTTGGCTTTTTGGAAATAGGTCAGTTGGAGTGGGGGTGTCAGTGGGAGTGAGTGAAGGAATGAGAGTGGGAGTTAGAGTAGGAGTGATGTGAGGTGAGAGTATTGCGGCAAAGTAGCAAATACCATAGATTGGCTACGTTAAATGCGCCCTCACATAAATTGGTAAACAGCCTAAATAATTAAAAATTCTACTCCACCTCACTATGCCACGCGGTTGAAATCGCGGGCACAGCTAGTGTAGATATAAAGAAAAAAATAGATCTATATTGATTGATTTATATTGTTCAATGTAAATATCTTAAATCTTTCGTTTGTCAGACATTATTGAAATTTTGTATCCTGGATTATTCCAGCACATTAAAATTACATAAAATCTTAAGATTTTTTTTTTAATTGTAGGTTATAAATCAGACTTCAACATAAGAAAGGCCGTGGGTCGTTGGCACGTCGTCGCCATTATACCAGATACGAACTTTTCCAACAAGTTCGATAATGTGACGTGTTATCAAGTGGACTTCAGCGAGGTTGATGAGGTATTCATTAGGAACCAAAGACTTTTATCTCTGAAATATCATGTTTAGAAGATGAGTTTTGCATATTTAAATTTTTGCAAATATAAATACAGACTTAAATATTAAACAAATACTGTCTATAGCTTACGCGAGTAGTATACATTGAAATAAAACTCTTTAAACCGTTAGAAACGCGAAATGTATTAGAGCACGGGAAGACAACGGCAGCTGCAAAGCATTCAAAACGTCGACCCGTAGTTGGTAGTTATAATATATTGTAAATAAATGGATTTGATTTAAAAAAAATATATTTTAAAAAGATAGCAAAAAACGATGAATCTAACAAAACTGGTTGAAACAGGGCCAAGCAAAATAACTTTCTAAATTTAAATAAATTAACAAATATATATAGCACTATATATATACTTATATATATATATATATATAATATATATTATATAAATATATATGTATATCTTTATCGACAATATCCATTATTATATACGGTCATTTCTTTTAGGCAAGCCTAAAATGGATGATAACGCAACGGTTTGGTCGTCCAGCCGAAGAAATAATAGACAGCGAGCCAGGGGAAGTGATTCGTATTCGTTATCATACGGAAGAGCCATTTGATATTTGGTCGAAGGCTGTGAAAGAGCTGAAAGGTTGCTATAGACAACTCATCGATTTGACGAGCAATGAGACAGAAATACGTAAGTTGTATGTTTATAAGTGTAATTAACTTACTTAGTAAAAGTTACTTGACAATAAATATTACTCAAGTACAAATATAATATATATACATATATACTTTTACTAAGGTTCTATGTGTTTTTACGCGAGGAGTATTAATAAAATTGAAACGCTATATAAATACGATCTGATATTTCACAAACTATAAGAGTGCGTCGAAAAAATGTTTCAATCTGTGGATTTTCAAATATCCAAATCTAAAATAGGGCGAAATCATTCTTGTTTAGATGCTATATAGGCTTGGGTATATCATCTACCATCAAGTGAACGTCATGCCTGTCTGTCTCACATAAAAAAATCAAGTCTTCTGACGCTTGAAAAAATTTTTTTATTAAAGTACTTGCGTAGAAGCACATTCATTGACAAACACAGACCGATTCCTTTCATATTTGCAGATCTAGCGAAAACATTAAACTCGCCAATGCTGCTACATATATTAGACACAGGTTATGGGCCGTTTCTAATCCAAAAACTTTGGGGACGTCTTTCAGCTGTTGTTTATCGAAGAGAACCGGTAATTATATAAAAAATATTTTTTATTTGATTTTCAATTTTAAACAAACAGTTGTAGGTTATGTTACAGATATATTTCCATGACTTTATCACTGGTCAATGTATTTTAGATGTTAGCCCTACTTCTCTGCTTGCTTACTCGGTGTCGAACCTGTCATAGATAGTTATTATACGAGATGAAATCTGAATTAGACAAATTATCAAATATACCATCTTAGTAACTACATCAGTTATGTAACTATTATTGTAAGTTATTTTATTTAACAGAACCGTTTTTACTGGATTTTATTTATAATCAGAGTTTATGTAAAATTGTGTTAATAATTTAATTAATTATAATGGTATTTATATGTGTTGTAAAAAATATGATGCATTTATTTCAGGGAACAGCCATAGACAAATTGAGACCCGTGAAAGAATTTTTATCATTATATCGAGGCACAGTGGAAAAACCTAAGCTGTGTAATGCCCTACAAGTTTCAAGACCGGATTCTGTTATAAATAACAAAGATAAGATTTTACAATAATATTGCAACTATTTTATAACAACATATGTAGTACAAGTATTTCTATATGGATAGTTTTTTATTTAACTATGTATGTAAAAAACCGATGAATACATTGGTATGAAATTGTGAGATGTTTTTATTAAACTTCCTCTAACTACCTCTAAACAATGCCGAGTATTGGTTATTACAAAGGAGAAACTCGTCAAACGATTGTATCTTAAACAAAAAAGGGAAATTTATTCATATATTCCATGTATTTCTGTTTTTTTGTATATTATATGTTACATGTGATTTACTTATTCTCTCTAACAGTGGTTTTTTTTCAAGTGTACCTTCCATGTGAGCATTTTCACGTCGTTTAATTTGTATCTTAAAATTGTACAGGTAAAATAATAATTTAAAGAAAACCATCGCTAATAGGTTCAGTTTAAAGTAATGTATCTTGTTTAAGCGTTATTTACGATATGTCCAGATCGTAACGAATCGTTGTCTAGCACGAACATACGAGTACACACGATAGGATAATGAATTTTCTATTGAAAATTATAAAGTAGATTATATATACCATGGAAAAGGATTTATACTTATATTTTTTATTGCCTAGAAATTATCCATTTCTTTTCTCTCTCTCTCTCTGTGGTTCAATACATAAAAAATGGCTTAGTATAGGGATAAATTTCGGTCGGGTTGGACAAAGAAATCTTGAAATTGACGAGCGAAGTAAACTCAAAAATCAGATTATTTAACTCAACATGTTAAAACATCCATGACAAAGATTTCCAATAAATAATATTTAATTATAATACTATAGATATAACTATTATTAACTATATCATTGAAAAACTATTTTTCACATATTCTTGCACATGAAGGCACTATATAGTTTAAAAATCTAAAATAAATTGAAAACAATTTTGACTCGAGCAGAAAAAAAACAACGGCACTCGTCAGCGTTCCGTGCTGTTGCTACCGAGTCGCCGGTTTAAGTTCTGCCTGAGTCGAAATTGTTTTCAATTTATTTTCGATTTTTAAATTATTATTAACTATATTCAAAGATAATTTGCCTTGTAAGCTCATTAATATTTTTACGAAATTAAACATTAATGGAACGATTTTTTAATCATTGTATGGTATGTTTAGTTGTGCAATACATTGTGTACACTATGTAAACATATTGACGAATTGACAGACGGACATCAGGTGTGGATCGCACTGTGTGATTGATTTTGTATTGGACAGCTCTAGTTATATCTGTAATAACGTATACGCTATACAGGCTGTTCCTCTTATTAGCCTGGGCTCTACCCAATACTGGAACTAGATCTTTTAAGTTCTGGTAAACGTAGAATTTTTAATTTATTTAAAGTAATATTTAAAAATACTATTGTTACGGATAAAGAAACATCAACAAATGTTAAAAAACATACAACATATATTTACTGATATTATGAAATTTATTTTACTTGGACTTTAAAAATAAACTTTTATAACTGCCTGTATAAGGTTGCAACAAAATGCTGAGTCCGCCAAATCCTAGAGGGTGTTCCAGTTGGCTCGTTTTATATCTATTGTTTATACGTTTTGATTGAATACCCCTTTTATACATGCTACAATAGTTCCTCAACATTCCTTAACCGGTTGTATTAAGGTCCATTTTCCAACGATTTATGGGCATAGTGTAAAAGTTTATAACAGACACGCGTCATTTGACACGTCCGTAACAGAAGCGAAAGGTGAATAGTTGCAATTTTGGAAATAAATATTGGGATATACAAAAATATTTCGCATTTTTAACCATTAAACTGTGATATTTTAAAGCTTGTGGTGAGTTAAGGTACCGACTTTTATAATTGTTTAACACGTTAGAGTTAATCTGTAAAATTAAAAATATATTATTCAGACATTGAAAGGTTAATAATTGCGGGTTCGATCTCCGTCAGATTCAACAATTTTCTATTCAATTTATCATTTTTCTGCAACATGTTGGACTTTGTCTTGAACTTTTGATGTAAATCCAATTCCAAAATAGGTTGATAGCGCACCATGTTTAGATGTTATATGCCTTGGTTGTTTCATCTAAACCCCGTTCTTGTCTATCCTCTATCATAAAAAAATACAATTGTAAGATGATGTAGAACTAACTCAAGCCACTCGTACCCTATTGAAACGGTTTAATTGCGTCAGGCGTTGACCGAATCCTCTAGAAAGTTTTAATAGCTATTTAACTCCAGATCTCATCTCGATCTCCTCACGAAATTACCTAAGTCTTTTAGCAATAAAATGTCTCATAAAGACCATTTTATAATAGGATCGTAAAGTAGGGCGTGTCCCTGGGGCATTTTTTCCTACTTTATTATTCGATTTTGTGTCTTTACTCGGCTTTACGGCACCTGGTGTCGATGAAAGCAGTTGTTTAGGAAACAATGAGATGTTGAGACGACTGTTTTAATTAAAACCTTTGAATAGCATTAAATTGTGTTAGGTAAAAATATTTTTTAATGAAGTATTGTCTGCAGCTTACGAAAGTAGTACACATTGAAATAAAAATCTTTCAACTGTTTAAAACACGAAATATATAACCGCCCTAGCCATGGCAGATGTCGTATTCAAAACGTGTAACGCATGTATTTTGTATTGTAAACAGTAAAAGTATATTATTAAATTTTAAATTCACGAATAATTGATTATAAGAATAAAATGTTTATATATTTCACGATTCATTAAATAAAGTAAAAGACAATGTTTGTTAGTAAAAAACAATCATTCGATAAAATTCTCTTATCTTTTGCAAAACTATTATTTTATTTGTAAAGGGTTTAGATTACAACAAGAATTATAGAAAATATTAAAAACCAATGATTTATACACTTTTCTAAATTATAAATAAGAATTTATAATTTCATTTAACAAAAAATATATTCTCAAAAAGTGAAAAATATTAATGTTTTCAAACCTCTTATAAGATTCAAATTACCTCTAACACTGTTTCATAATAAAAGACGATTCATTACCTACCTATATCAATACTCGTTATATAATACGTAGCCATTAAAGCTCGCCACTCACTCGTGACACACAATTAATACGGTCAAGTAAACGCTTTCAGAATGCCTCCTAGGATCGTACGATTTTTAATCAACCCGCTTGCGACCGTGCGATTGAAGCCAAGTCATGCGACTAATTAGTCGCCGCAAGCGTGGGGTCTATAGATTACTTCGATAATTGTTTTTTAAACCGTGTCTGTGATACATGTCATTAAAGGGAGCCCTCAGCAATGATATAGCTAATGATAACTTTGCTACGCGCTACGGCGTAGCGTCGTAGATATAGCTACGATGATAATTCATACGGTTTTTCAGTTCAAGTAAATTAGATTATTTATTAACAATGATGTTTAAACCGTTAAAGTGTTTTATTCAAATGTGTAATACTCGCGTAAACTATAGACTGTATTTAACAATGAAATTATTTATACCTATTATAGATTATGTGAGATGAATTCGATGTAATTAACAAGTTTTAGATCATTAATAATATAAAAGTAAAAAATTGGTTTATATATATATTTGGATAAGAGAAACTTTATAAATATTATTTGAATAAATAAAAAGAAACAAGTGTTTTTTTAAATAGGTGTACATCGATAAGAAAAATGTATTATTTGATTACTTATACGAATATCATTTTAAATATATAGGTATATTCTTTAATTGTGTATATATATTTTATATACCTCTAGCAATTTAATGCAATGAAACAACGAAGTAGAATCGTTAAATTTAATGTACACTAACCTGATGCTATAAAACCAAGTTAATCTCAATACACCGATAGCCCTTATTATCCTTAGTGATGGTATAAAGCTTTATCGATAATTATTGAAAAGTGTTACTGATACCTTAGTAATTTATGATTGGTGTGCTGTATTGATTTTATTACCAAAAACTGAGTTTAACACACATTTCACAGACGTATATATGTATGTAAAATAAGAGAAGTTGAATTTAATTTAAATCCTATATTATTAAGCTGTATATAAATTAAAAATCGTGAAATTAAAAAAATATGACACGGCCAGGACTTGAGCCGGCATCCACAGTATTCCGTGGCACGGCAGCTCAATTGGTTGTCGCATGCGCAATTACATGTGAAAATATTAACGTTTTCAAAACCTTGAATAGTTAAAAATTTTAATTGTGGGCATTCTAACAATTAATTTGACTTTAACATATGTAGTTTTAAGGTAACTAAAATTAAACTAGTGAGGCTAAAATATTTTTAGAATACGAAAACAATGCTGATAGAACATTTATCGACTATTCCCAGCTCTAGTCGGAAATAAAAATCGTAAATGAAGCAATTCTCTCACAGTCGGTCTCTAAATACGATTAACTACTTTTTGGGGACTCGCCACGTTTAACTGTCCTTTTATATCAGGTGAAGCATAGTTTATTCATTCTCTACTTTTGTTTTGGCTCCGGTTTGGTACTGGTAATGGTTTTATTGCTGTTAAGCTAGCTACAAAGGTTAGCCGTGTTTATAGAGACAGATATGTATAGGTATTGAAATTAGGCTTTAAAGTTTTTAATTTTGAAAACAAATCTCAAATTATTTTCAATATTTGTAGATTGTTGTTCATTTGTGTTTGACGAACATGTTACTCTTATGGTAGCAGCAATGTATTGCTAAGTATCATCAGATCGTGGGTTTGATCCCCACAGAGGTAATATGTTTCTACTTAATTTTATTGATGACTAAACAACTATGAAGTTTAATTACGTTTCAGTTTCCGTATGTGGATTTCCTAATGTCCGAAGTCACAAAAAGCCACAGCGCACATATCGAGTTCTTCAAGTTTAGATATTTTATATAAAAAATCGTAATTGTATATCTTATGTTTGCCAAACATGATGTTCCACATATTGAATAATAAGTTCTTTCAAATCTTATTTACCCTTTTCTTACTATTCAAGGGTCAGCGAATTCATCTCCTGTCCATTTACCCTAATTTGGGGACA